TAGCTTCTTGTAGATGTTCTTCTCCCTATCATCCCGGAGCTTGAGCTGCTTTTCTTATAGAAGAACGTTCCTTTCCACGGGGGCTGATTGGGATAGTGCTCCAACAGCGGGAGACGGAGGATCAACCTCCATGTCGGTGCTTGCTCGGGACAAAGAACTTCTCGTTGAACGGAATGATATGGCTCGCTTGAGCTTGCCGGCAATCTTGCTCATTTTCCTGCAAAATAGACAAAAACAACACAACTTGTGGAACAGGATTAGGAAAATAAAAATGTTAGTGGTTTGCCGTTCCAAAAGTCAGTCGTCCAGAGGTTAGTCGTCCGAGATTGCCTAGTGAATATTCTAATCAAGATTTTGGCATGTCTTCCACCCTAATTCTTTTTAATTTCCTCTCTTGATTTGGACAGCACTACCACTCTTAAACTCTATTTTTCTTGCTTAAATTTCAGCAGCACCTCTCCAATTTTCTCTCAAGATTTTAGCACTACTTTCACACTCAATCTTTCCCACACTCTTTCTTTCTCCAACACTACTTCTACCAAAGGAAACTCAACTACGAAATTTTGAACTAGTTTTTCAAACTTGGAATGGTGAAATATAGTATGTGTGAGTGAGTTGAGCAGCCATGAGAAGTGGTTTTTATAGAGGGGAGAGGGGGAGGCCGCCCTACCTAGTGGTGGGGCCGGTCGGCCCCACAAGGTGGCCAAATGGCCTCTCCATTTTCTGATGCTCCCTTTGCTTCGTGGTTAAGTGAATGAAGTGCTTCTTTCGGTGGATATGGATTCTGGATGGTGCAGAGAGAAGGAGAGTGGAAATGGAGGTTGATATGGAGGTGATCATGGTGGTTGAGTGGAGATGGAGGTGATGGAAGTGATGGGTGGTGGTTGAGTGGGCCCCATGTGTCTCCCGTATTTCTACCGTATACATATATAAAAATGCAATGCAAAATTACTTTTGTAAAACTATGAAACATGAGAAGATGAATGATGATATTTTTTGTATTTTATGTCTCCACAAAGAAAATATTTCTTACGGGTTTTTATGCTGCTCAGAAAATTATTTACATGGAGCTTGAATTTTTAATATGCCATGATGAGAATTGTTTATTTCATTTTTCTAATGCAAGTTTTAAGAAGTAAATATGCCAAAGTGAAAATATAATGCGAAAAGTAAATATGGATAACTACCGAGTTACCTCCCGACGAGGGTTCGAAATTTTAAGTCCACTGAACCAGGCTTCTTCGTTCGGGTTCATTCTTCAGGTGTATCCTTCGGTCCCAGAGATGGAGACCTTGATACTTGCTTCTCAAGACACTTCAAATTGGAGCATTGTTCCGGTCTTGGCTTGAAAGCGAACCGCTCTTCCTTTCCATTAATATGGAATTTGATCTCTCTGGCTCCAACATCAATGTGCACATTTGTAGTGTTCAGAAAGGTCTCCCAGAATGAGTGGTGTCTTCATGTCTTCCTACATGTCAAGTACCACAAAATATATACAGAACAAAAAGTTTTATATATGTGGTATTTATGGATCCTCACCAAGGCAATGAATAATGTTATGCCTTTTGTTCTCCTATAACTAATGCTTATGTGGAGCTCATAGGAGTGGTAATTGCACGAAGAGAGCATATTTGCAATACATATATTGTAAAGTCAAACAACGGATTCAAAGAGAGTTGAGTCATACAATCAAATCAAGATGTGCATGTGTATGGAATATGGCGGATATATATATGATGGATATATATGATGGCTAGCCTAATTCTACTATACTCCTCGAAAACATATCTCTCATTTTAAACTTGGAAACAATTGCAAGAAAACATGGGCTATCTTATTCATCTCCTTTTTCAGGTGGGCATCTAAGTACCCATTGTTTTAATACTTCGGACACTTGTCTATTTTTTCAATTCTTCTTTCTTCTTCTCTTTTTTTATGAATAACTTTTGCATAGCCCATGCCTCTTTTCTGCAGCAAACTTTTGAGAGATAGTAATAAGAACTTGGAGCATTTATTTGGTGGAAACCTATGAAGCATATTTTTGGTGTTTTCTCCCAATGTACGAGTTAAACATTTTTTTGGTAGATCTAGATGGAAGCCATGTTTTTGCGCCTACCCCCAGTATAGGAGTAGTTAATATATAGGTGGTGTTTACGTGATCTTGATTTTAAGAGTATGTCGGTGTGGAGTCCTCTCGAGTCTTCTAGAACCTTCTGGTGTCCGTTTCGCCGCGGATAAGCGTGATTTTATTTGACGATTTGATCCTCTTTGACGGTTTTATGAAATAACCATGCTGAAAACACAGATTCACCAAAACTCGTGAAAATTATCAGTTTAAACCCCTAAGTTTATATTGGTGATCTTATTTATGCATTTATACAAGTAAAGTTGATTGTTTATGTTAGATGATAACTACTGTCAACATGTAATTTGTTCCATCGAAGTGCGACGGTTTGCCGGAACCACGCTCCATGTCGCCTTCATGGATCATGGACCGATTAAGGTGGAATCATCCTTAACCGGCTTCGATACCAATTGAAAGACCGGAAACGGTGACCAGAGGAGGTGAATGGGAGCCTCAAATTTCTTTTGAAATATTAAGCCGTTGTCCAAAAATCAAGCCCCAAAAGCAAACGCACACAAGAACGAGATAACTCTAGCCCAAGGATTGCTAGGTACCGCCGGTGATGACCTAGAGGCACAAACAAGCAATCAAGAACCAACTAAAACAAGCCCATAGCCAAACATCAAGAACCGGTGAAGACAGGGTATCCGCAGATTGTCCGGGGTCTTCTTGCGGACTGTCCACGGTTCAAAAGTTGCAAACAGGACAGCAGGGAAGTGATTCTGTACGCTGCATAAAAATGAACGTCAGACAGTCCGGGGGTCAGTGGCGGACCGTCCGCAGTTCAAAACAGCGAGAACCGAAGTTGGAAAACAGGTTCTGGATGCAGCTGAAACAGCCAAGGGTGGACTATCCGCACCTAGAGGCTGGACTGTCTACGCCCGGGGCTGAAGCGGAGTGCAAGACTCGCCTGTGCTCGGTCCCGAAAGGCGGACTATCCGACGATGAGCTCCGAACTGTCCGAGAATCGCGAATCAGCCCAAAAATAGATCGCCCGAAAATCGCCTCCAACCAAAATCCATTTGATGTGCGGCCAAATCAAAACCAATTACACCAAATTTTAACTTCATGGTCACAAGGCAATATGTGAGCTACCACTAAAAGATCATCGCCCAATTTGAAGCCAATCAACGGGAAATTGGATGAACACGAAAAACACTGGTTTCCCAACCCTAGAGCTTAATTCGCCCCGATCTATGAACTCATGACGAATTAGATGAAATCCTTTGGTGGAAAGGCTCAACTCACGTCCTAGTTCATCTCAGTGCAAAAGGAACGAATCAAAATGACCTGAAATCAAAGAAACGAGGCAAGAACGAGAAGGGGAAAAACAAGAACGCGAAGAACACAAACGCGAAGAACACAAACAGCTCACAAATCGAATCCTGGAGGACACGAGGAGGTTAGGGCCTCTATTTCCAACCAAAATCATAGGTTCAATTACACCGGGACACTAGTTCATCGGTGGACCTCTTGAGAAGAAGCTAGAGAGACAGAGAAAACCTAGAGAGAGATGGTGGAAGGATGAAATGGCAAGAGGTAAGGGAGATTTGGGCTCCCTCATCCTTATTTAACAGGGCTATTACATAATCTCAAACCTGCCCCTAGATATTTTGAGTCGAACCACTTAACCAGAGGGTGTTATGGTCCAACACGAGATAGTCTTCATCCGACGGCCACCGTGCCCTTCATGAGATAGCTTCGCCTCGACGCGAACTCCTCGATGTCGCCACGTGCCGTCCGTTCCTCCACGGAACCTCCGTCCGGGTTTTGAGGCCAAACCCGCGAAACCATCACCCGATGGTTTTGAGGCTCAACCCACCAAACCGCCGCGAGTAGCATACTCCATACGCGTCTCCCGCCACTCGACGCGTGTCACCTCCGTCCTCGACCTCCCAGACGCCAAGTCTTCCAGAGCCTTACTCGACTTACACGTCCGCCGTCAACACAGTCTCTCCTCCATGTACACTTGCGCTTGTCAATATCCCCACATGTCAACCACTACGGCTGGTCATCCGGCCTCCTGGTCCCTTGGTGCAAGCCTCACATCTGTCCTTCACCGCTCCTGGTCCATCGGCACGGCACGACCCTACTTGACCTTCATCTTGCCGTCGACCACCGCCTCCGAGCTCCACACCTACGCACTATAAGTCAAGAGACATGTCGCACAACTCAACTCACACCATGATTAGTTCACAAGCTCAACCTAAAATGTGAATGACGTTGACAATCGTTGGTCACAAGTCAAACCGCACAACATATCGCATTCTCCGTCTCCACGGGTGATAACGCAGGAGTCGTGATCGCCGAGCACGCTAAGACTAAGATGGATCTGCGTTTGGTCCTTGTCAGATGACTGTGTGAGATCAGTTGACAGCAGGACCATTCCTCCACTGAGCAAAGTGATAGCGCAAGGACAGTTGATGATTGTCGTCTTTTCAGTTCCACTTTGTGTGTGTGCGCGCAGATAGAGAAAGGACATAACAAGAAGGCAGGAAGGCGTGGAGGTGCTGGACACGGTTGATCGATCTAGTTCATTTTGGCTGAGATATTTTCCAGCTGAAAATTGTAACTTTGATATTAGTGTTGGTAAAGAATTTGTTGCCAACCATTTTGTATCATCTATACGTACTACCAACGAATATAAATAGGTCTTAAAGGTTTAATACTTTTGCAAGAATATATATGCGCCATACACACACATATTTAATTTGTCATTTTTATTTATTGCTTCATATATCATCAACATGACGTCCGGGTAGCAGTGAACATAACACAGGCTACAATACATGTTCCCAGCTAGCTACTAGCTGCATGTGAGGGCTAACAAGGGACTTTTATTTATTGGTTGCAAACTCCTTCCTACTTTCGATTATCAGAGCTCCTTCTGCACGTCCTTGAGATTGGTGGTGAGGTTGAGCGACGACCCCAGCTTGACGACGCTGTAGATGCGCTTGAACTCTCCGAACGTCATGGTGCGGTAGGCCGGCGGGTTGTCGTCGCTGAGGAACTCGGCGGCGGGGCCGATGAGGCAGTCCGTGGTGGGCATGATGAACGTGGCCACCGTCGTCCGCGCCACCCCCAGGTTGGTCATCACCCGGTGCTCGATGCTCTTCAGCACCCCATTCGTCACAACCTGCATGCATGGACGCGTGCCTCAGAATCAAAAGTAAAAAATCTGGATCGGAATCGGAATCTGAATCATAAAGCAACGCCCACTAGAAATTAAATAAACAAGCATGAGACCTCAAGTTGGCATCCGAAGTTGACGACAAAGGCGCCAGGCACGGGGTCGACCTTGATCCAGTCGCCCTGGTAGGCGACCTCGAGGCCGCGGACCATGCTGGGGAGGAGCAAGGTGAGGAGGTTGCGGTCGCAGTGCGGCGGCAGGCCGAGCGTGGCGGTCGGGTCGGGGCACGGCGGGTAGTGGTTGACGTGGAGCACCACGTCGCCGCCGCTGATGTCCCCCTCCAGGTAGTCGGGGCGGAGGCCGAGGCCCTCGCAGAGCAGCCGCAGGACCTCCATCCCCAACCCGCGCGTCTGCACCGTGAACCGCTCCACGACCTCCCTGCAGAGCGACGGCGGCCAAATGCAGTTTTTTCACTTTCACCATTCACAGTCACAGCTAGCACCATCCGGCAAAATATATACTCATAGTAAATTAATTAATTATTACCGGAGCCTCTGGGGCTTGTCAGGCCAGCCGCTGGGGCTGTCGCCGACGTCGGGGAAGGAGCAGGCGAGGCGGAGGCAGTCGCGCCAGTACTTCTCGGCGCCCGTGTCGAACATGGTGCTGGAGTAGATCCGGGTGGTCTTCCCCGCGTCCTCGGAGTAGAGCCCGGCCTTGTCCTCCGCCGGGAGCGCGAAGAACTCCTGGCACACCGCCTCCATGTCCCGCATCGCCTCCAGGGACACGCCGTGGTTCACCACCTGCACGCACGACGTACCGGCCGGTGCACCCACGAGCTTAATTAAAGGAGGGAAATAAACACACTACGGTAGCTAGTAAAGGATCAGCCGGACTACACGGAGTACTATACTATATACATGCCTGGAAGAAGCCGATCTCCTTGCCGGCGTCGAGGATGGCGCGCCGGACATCGTCGCGGCACAGGGACAGGTCGATGATGGGCAGGGAGACCGCGCCGGAGGTGGCCTTCGCCTGCGGCAGCTTGTCGGCCGGGAAGATGAAGCACTCCGGCAGGGTCGCGTGGACGGGGGCTGCGTGGAGCATCTTCTCCATCGGCGGGTCCGAGGAGGAGACGGCCGGGTGGCGGGGCGTGAGTGGTAGGTAGCTAGCTAGCGCGCAGCAAGAAAGGGTACGTGTGCAAGCTGCTTCTACTACTACTAGTACTGTGCTTTGCTCGTGTGGTCTCTGTATATATTTCGTTTAATTTATTTCATGAAACTGAAGATAATTCAATCGCAAGACCAAGAGAAAATGGCACATGCAGCTATAGTACTATACTAGCTAGGACTATGGTTGGACAGATTGCGTTCGTGGCTAGTTTGTCGGGCTTGTTGTTCAGTCCCACTCGTCAATTTGAACTCCACACTCGTGATCGTAACGTGGAGGCATGTGATGTTTGTCGCCTGAAAGGAAAGCAAAAATCAGACGCCTGTGATTTAGCAACTCTCATTATTTATCCGACACTGTTAGTAGTAATGTTCCATGCATGGCTATATGGGCATAAAATGCAAAGTTCTCGTCGAATATAAATTAACTATGAAGATTACTAGCATTTGGGATTGTTTATACAGACAGAATTACTCTGTTGCAGTCGCCTGAAATTTTGCTTTTCCATCAGTCACTCGCCTCTCCACGCTCTTCCTCCTCAACTCCGGCGGCAGCTAGGGTTCCGGCGGGAGGCCCAATCTTCTTCCTCAACTCTAGCGGGCTTAGAAGGGGGGCGGGGGGACGGCAGGCCCGCGAGGCGGTGGGGATGGAGGGAGGGCATCTTAGGGTCTTGGCGGCGGCGGAGACGGCTGGGCCAAGTTGTGGCGGGGGCATCCATGGCCAAAGCTTGCCGTGGAAGGAGGGGGAGGGAAGAAGGCAACCGCCGCAGGTGCGATAGGGTTTTGTCAGAGCTCCGTGACTGGGAGCTCTGGCAAAACCCTAGCACTTCGCGGCGGGGGACGAGGAGGAGGAGGGCGCGGCCGCCGACGGCGTAGGTAGAGTTGGGCGTGAGGAGGAAGAAGGCGCGTGTGGGGTGTGAGGAAGAAGGGAGCGCGAGGATGAAGATGACTGATACATAGCATTATTTATAACGGGTTTTGGTTCATGCCCTCATTTTAAAGGTAAATGGTAATTTTACCCTCATTTTCTAAACTTTATGATTTTACCGCTATGTTTCAAAACTCAAGGAAGCATTTGCTCCTATTCTGTAAAGTCCTCTTATTGTTAATTTTTAGACAAAAAAAAGACAAGTTTGTCTATGTCATTTTACCCCTGCTTTATTACATGTTTATGTGATTTTATCCCTATTTCAAGATCAAAGTTTCGACAGATTTAGTAGCGATCTTAGCAACAAAATTAGGTACAATTTTAATTAATTTTGTAAATTTGGACAGCATTATACCAAAATCCATACAAACACAATTTATTATCACACAATTTGCATGTAATCATCAAACCATTAGGGACAACCATGAGATATCATGCCAACATACAGATATATGTCACATTAATATATATAGTTCACGTACCAACATAGCCTAACATCCTGGACACCTCATCCTTGATGGTCTCCAACACCTTGGCCACCTTATCTTTGAAGCGCTCGAGGGACCAATCACGAGTAACATCAATAGCTAGCATGCGCTTGTCCACCGTACTGGGGCCACAAAGTGAACTCTCTCCCCCGTACTGACGAATGTAAATGATTACCACAATACCCCCATCGGCCATGCTCCATGAGTTACAGATTTGGTCGGTATAAAGGCACAACCATTTAGAAAAGCAAAGGGAAATCCATTTCTATGCAGATTCTCTAATATGGCTTACACTCAGACGAATAATACTCAACAAGTAAAATCAAAAGAGCAGCTTATGAGAGGCAAGCATGTATATAGATTGAACGGTACATTATATTTCAGACAAATTTAGCAGATGGGGAACTAACAGACAAAGAAGCCAGTTTTGCCAAGTTATCTAAATTGAAGAACAGACTTATCCATTGCATTTCCCTCGTCGAGGCAACCGGAAAACATATATGGATAATCTTATTTCGAGTCTAGATGAAAAAAATCCACATTGATAATGAATTTAAGTTAAAAGCAGCAAAACAGGCTTATTAGCTGGTTTTAAAAATAGGCTTAGTTAGTGGTATAAATATGAAATAAATATTAAAACTATGAGAAAAGGTCCCACGCAACTATACTAGTATATACTAGGATTAGGATGTACAGATTGCGTGCCTAGTTTGCCGGGCTTGTTGTTCAGTCCCCCTCGTCGATTTGGACTCGTGTTTATTGTTGAATGGACTCATGTGCTGCTGCGGACAAGTCGCCCTCATTGCATTGGACCCGGCTCCTGCTATCCGGGGGAACAGCTTGGTACAAAACGCGAATGCACGCCAGCCACACCACGTGATGGGAACACTACACCGTGGATATCGGGTTTACGGCAACTCCATGATGAGCATATAGAAATTTCCGACCCTATGCGTCCAGACGCCTGCACTGCAATTTCCCGTGCTCGCAACAGCACTCCACGTTCGTGCTCACAAAAAAACATACAGCACACCCCCGCCTGCGCCTAGGTTTCATGTGCCCATACGGGCCCGTGCCGCCCACGACGCCAGAGACCACGTGCGGAGACTGCTCACGTCCCCTCCGTTTCTCACACGTATTGTAAAATGTGCAACACCCGATCTACTTTTAAAATATCCAGATATAACACTTACGATATACGTCTGATAAATAAAACACTTGAAACATACTTCTAAAATACTTATAAAAACACATGAAAAACTATTGCAAACATACACAATACCCAAATAAAACACTTGCACATAGGTGTGAAACGTATACAACATCTAGATAAACACACTTTCAACAATACATCCAAATACACAGATAAAACATTGGGAACATACCTTTACAACAGTGTACAACCATAGCAACATATGCAACATTCCGATTTACTTTTGCAACATTCATCTGAAACACTTGCAACATACCTCTGAAACACCCAAAACACTTGAAACATACGCTTGCAACATGCGTTTTCAGCATTTGCAACATCTCCTTGCTACTTACGAAATAGATGCTCGCCGGCATGTGGATTTCACCGGAGGCAACCACACCGTCGCCACCATCGACCATCGCCAACATCGACCAGATGGACTGCGCCTACTACGAGGCCGGCAGGGACCCCTTAGTGCCCGCTGGTATCGTGGGCTCCACGTGGGACACGCACCCCCCCCCCTCCCCCGGCATCGGATCTCTCGCCGCGTAGTGGATCTGGTGGAAGGAGCAGCAAGGTAGAGGGGCGGAGGCGCGCGGCACGTGATGTGGGCGAGCGCCCACCCCACTGAGGGGCAGCGCCGCACGGCTGGCACACCACCTGGTCGGTCGTGCGCAACGAATGGAGGAGGCGACGCTTTGGGCCACCTCGGGAGAGAGGGAGAGAGAGCAAGGAGAGGCTGGGGCGGATACGCGGACGGTGCGGAGCCAGCTAGCGGCATCAACCGGCGGGGGTGGGAGCGGCGGCCGCAGACACGCAACGGAGCGCGCGTCAATGTTTTTTTTTTTTTGCGATGTGGGATAGCGGCAGCTGGTTATCGTAGAAATTTAGATCTCTATATTAATTGAATTTTTAGACTAATATAGACACTCAAAATAAGTTTGTGGCTTTTGTTAGGTTGATCCTTCGTGTTTACTTCTCGTGTACATTGATTTGTTGGTTTCGTATGTCCCTAATACCGGGCAGGACTCTTAATAGACGCACGCGTGTAGAGAGAGATCAGCGGCGCACGGTTCCGCATCCAAACGTACGTATTTGGCGTGCGTGCGCTGAACCAGTTTCCTCATTCAGCACACGTCCGATCGTCGTGGTTGTGGGTCCATCACGTGTCTTCCCGTTTTCCTTTCTTTTGGACCTACTCGCATGGGACCTAATTTATCTATAAATATATCAAATATTATGTTCCCCTAATTTATCTATAAATATCGAAAACGCTAGAATTGCTTGGGGTTCATCAGTATTTATTAGCTACAATTGGTAAGTGGCTTAGAAGTCATGAGATGAACAAGGAACAACTAAGTAATTCTCACAAAATCTTTGAAGTTATGTGAGAAGTTATTTAGTGTCTCTGCGAGGGACTCATCCAGATATTCACAATACATACATGTAGACCGATGTGGACTAGTTCCTAAGCTTAGCTAGTTTCATGTAGGCCACTGTTGAGGGAGTAACGTTGTATTCTCGTCAAGGCTAAGACAAGTGTATGACAAACTTGTATATGATGATATATTTACTTGTTGGCTGTATCCTTAAGCTTTTCATTATGTATCTAATGTTTGGGTTCATGATAGTTAAATTATATGATGAGAATCATGAACCATCATGTATCTAATGTTTGTTCGTATACCATGGTTTCAAGACTTTTGTTTACAATAATTCTAATTCTGGTGGATCATGGTGCGTAGTTTGGTTCTTATATTTAAGTTCATGTATAAACACGACCCCAGTATCTTATAAATTGTAACACAAGTAAACAAGACATGCATCCATATAACAACCACTCAAAATTTTACATAACATGAAAGATATGCTTGTCAACACCCTGATATCTTAGTTTATTTGCAGCCACATATATCAGCAGAGAGAATAGAGAGAAGCAAGCATGAGGGGTCTCCTTATTAACATGATACTACTAGTTCAGAGAGTTCTCGATGTCGATTACAAAGCGGTATTTGACATCCCGATTTACAAGCCTCTTGAGAGCCTCGTTGATATAGTCCATTTTGATGACCTCAACCTCTGGGTATATTTTGTTCGCTGCACAGAAGTTCAACATTTCTTGGATCCCCTTGGTTCCTCCACCTCCACTGCCAGAAAGGGTCCGTGCACCTGTGTAAATGTGTATTTGAGTACAAGATAAAAAAAAATTCAAGAGTTCTTTTCATCAGTAAATAATGGAGTGACGAAATTTTGTAATGGAATATGTAGCAGTACCAAAAATAAGACTTCCAGGATGCATGTTGATTTCACATGGGAAGCCCACTAGCGTCATTGTA